CGACAGATTGTCAATACTGCTGAATGTTAGAGTGTACGTCTTTTTGTGTAGCTGCCCAACCTCATAAACAGCTGTGCGTAAAGTCGTTGCAGGAAGGAATTCATGCAGGCAGTTTTAGTCATCTGCACTCCACTGTCACTTAAACTGATCCGTATAATATACATCTAAACCCGGTTCTCCATCTGTGATGAATTACGTGAGGTGACTAGGTCACGCTTCCAACGTTTAAAGTGAACTTTAACAAAGAACGCACACTGTTGCGGATACAGCACAAGACATCTAACCCACGTTTCTGAAATACGGTTGCTTAGTTCTTGTTGACATGCGAAATGGTCGTTTACATCTCCAACCATGGGCACTTTTACATAAACATTTTTCAGGCGATGGTTGAACCTGTTCTTAGTACCAGACTGGCTGTAATCTGTTTAAGCACAGTTTGTTTGAACTGTGGTTGCACTGTTATCAACAATCACACAATACCATTGTTCATATGAGGTTATCCTTCGGGGTCTAGTCTAGCCTCAGTCCATGCAGACAAGCAAAAAACACTCCGTTGGGATTCAAAGGAGAAGTTAATCAGATTGAATAAAGAATGAATCGAAAATAATAACTGAAAAAGTCATAACATGGAATTTCATTGTCGATAAGTCATTAGGTACCGAACATAAAAATAAATAACCGAGTCAAGCTCCCATGAATAATTTAACCATATCATGATGGATTTTATTAGCGCCAGTAAATTGTCCGTTTTGTGCAAAACCGCATGTCTGTTCCCATTCTGAAGACAAATTGTTCTTTCATTTTTCCATACTTGAATTTGTGAAAGAATGAATTGGTTACTCTCACCAAGTCAAAATTCGTTAAAGAAGATCTATCGGTGGTGTCACATGGGAAATCGCATAAGTTTAAAATTGATCCGTTAAATGTATTATTTTTGTTATTTAGAAAATTTCAAAAGTCTCTTTCAACTAGAACGGATTAGTTAAAAGAGACATACATTTATAAGGTCTGATTGAAATTTCCTACTAGATTTGTTCTGTTTCACTACCTGTTCATGACGTCTGCTTAATTTTTATTCTATCATCATATATGGCGTTCATTCTAGAAACATAAAATGAAATACTTAATAGCCTTTCTCTTGTAACCTATTTTGGTTTGTAGAAAACAAAATTAACTCCTAATAGCCTTCATCTTTGGGATTTTTCTTAGTCGCTAAATCACATACTAACCATTTGCTACCAATATGATTAGAGCATGCGTTCAATGTCATCTGTGCTAAGTTTCGCGATAACGTTGACGGTTAACACGATTAGGGAAAAATGGTTCTTGAAATCTACTTCTACACATATTCAGCTTCAGATGAATCCATTTTAACGTCAAGTAAGTCTACAAATCCAAATTCATTGGTACCACCCACATGTGATTGTTGCTTCAGCTATTACAAGTCACTCGTTTGGCCAAATCTATCTATCATAAAGTGCTTTAGCTGTAGCTCACTCTTTAAACTGTGCACTACCAGTAATTTGCAATGGACGTATGTGCTCGAAACACCTCTCGCACTTCTATGTCGGCACTTGCATAAAACTCCGCATTACGATCGGTGTTCTGGATTGCCGAGACATTGCACCTTTGTGATTTCAGCTGCAATGGGATAGCTATGCCTTTGATTATGATTGAAATTAGTTATTACGTATTTGGTGGCTAATAATCACAATAGTAGATAAAAACTTCCAACGACTGAAGATGGTCTTTGGAAGTTCGGCTAGATCTAGCAATTTCACGATTTCCTTAGCTATCGATTCAAAACGAGCAGAACTGGTAACGCTTTCCCACCATATTTCGGTCTCTTTAAAAAAATATTTTGCGTGTAATCAGCACAATAACGAATTTGACGAGGCCAAACGAAGACCATACTCAGTTCCTCAGTGGTCCCAGTCATGAGAGACACTCGGTGTTTAACCAGGTTGTGAACTGTACGCCAGCATCAAATCAATTAATGGGCACAGTTCATTTGTATCCCGAGGGCTCAATGTAGCTTTGACAATTTTTTTTTCATTTTGTTTTCAGTAATCTCTTCGCTGGTATTGAAAACATTGGAGTTTTGTCAGTTTTGTTTTCTGAAGCTGTTATTTTTAACGTCTTTACTCACCAAATCCTTTGGTCCGGCATTCAGTGGTTTGGTGCTCTAAACGGCTAACATTAAAGGAAGAGAAGAACATGGCGGAAGAAAATGCTATTATCGAGGATACTTAGCCAATAATTGAAAAACAGGTTTAAAAATCTGCTTGGCCGCTACAAGGGTTTATTACTATTCAGGTGTTAAGTGTCTTGCAAATTGTGCCTTTCATCGTGGAAGGTACATGTTAATCGAACCTTGGTTAAATTAAGTGAGTAGGTTATGATTGCGTACATTGTATTTGCTCATGCATCAATGCACGTCAAAAACAATGCCTGAGCATGGGAACTGATGTATTGACCTATCTGGATGTGATTTGCTTCCTTATCTAGCCGTCCGAGGTCAAGCTCCGCTGGACTCATTCACTCTCGTTTAGAACACGCTCTGCTTGCCGGTCATTTTATTAGTTCCCACGCTCTCAAAGGATGAACACTTAGACCCAAAATCCGCTGAAGCGTCCACCTTCGTTCGGCAACTCATCCACATAGTCAAGTTGTCTTTTATGGACAGAGGTTGTAATAAACACCGTCCAATGGATAATGTGTGATGGTTAAAACGTCAACCTTTTCCGGTGAAGGCGATTGGTGGAATCACCTGAAGTCGCGATGTTTTTACCTGAAGTTGAAATAGTGAATTATAATTTGTTTAACACTTAAAATAACACCTGGCTACCAGGAAACGTAAAAATCCTGAAGTAAGTAAAAAACGTGGTTCTCGAGAACTTCGTAGATGTATGAGCAGCTTATGATCAATGTGTAAGGAACGAAAGGTTTGAACTTTGATTAAACCAAACATGTTTCTTTGATGATGGAAGTTTTAAAATCAACTACATATCAAGATGAACTCGGTGTTTTTTTTGATGTCAAAAGAGTTCTCATTAGGCCGCAAAATCTTCAGCTCAATGACAGCTTTCCAGTTCAATGGGGGGTCAGTGTTCACAATGAAGTTGACCGCGAGCAAGCTTGCATAATGGTCGAATGGCCGACAACTCACCAATCAAGTGTGGGAGATAAAACCGAAGCGATGTGAGGAAAAGGGATAATGAATGTTTTTTTGCGTGTGTCGAATATTGGACAGGTGCATCCGCGATGTGATGTAAGTAAGAAGAGAATGGTAAAGATTGGCGATCAAACAAACGCAGTGATACTGGTTACGTGTGACGGTGAAACAGTCGACCTGATCAATAAACTCGTTGGATCAACTCAAGCGTAGCACGGCAGAGTACTAAACGGGGTGGGGGCTCTGGATCACACAAATCAAGAAATAATGCATGAGGGATGTCACACGGTGCAGCTAATTAAATTGTGTAGAAGGCGAGTGTAGTTGAAAGTAGAAACATATATAATACTGAAGCCATTACAAGTGCCAGTGCTATACAGTTTCACAGACTGAGAGGACCAGACTATCTGACATGATTAGATGACGACTTGATTGTGTAAATAAGGCTGGAGATGAAAATCCAGTAAACATTGGGCAGATATTTCCACCTGGTTTAGTATCATTAGCGGTGCAAACCCATCGAATCAACGATGGCACGAACCCGGGACCACACAATCATGCTAATAACTTGACCATCGGGCAGCTGAGCAGACCGTTTCTTACTTTTAATATACACGATATACCACAACCCATTTTCGAAAGCGTGTTACAAGCCACGGCCCTCGTTGGTCTCTGCACTGACTCGTTTGGAAAATTTTACAACCTGGTGCTTCTCGTACGAGAGGAATATGAGTCACGTGTAATATAACTGTTGGAGCCGTTTAGACTTGATCGTGTGACTTAGTGCGTGTTAGAGAAACACAGATGTTCAGCTTCTGAAACTCTTTTTAAATGAGGGTTCGAATCCCATCGAGACTACTGAACTTTCACAATTGACATACAAACTTCAAATCTGCCAAAGAACAATTCGAAACATAGAACGTTTGTTTGCAATCATGAATATTCGGGTAGTAAATATTGTCACTCAAAGCTTATGATGTGTGAAATAACTTGGTGAACTCAATTCGCTTGGAAGAAGTTGAGAACATCTCACATCCGCATCCCTTTTTCTTTGTTATTCCTATAAAATGAAACTATGCAGTCCGCTACCGCTCGATGGGAAAATTCAGTTGTGTATTTCTCCAGACAGCCTTTGTGTGGCAGTGGCCTCTTTATTGAACGTTGATTCCATGAATAAAAATGGAAGCAAAAAGACAGTTTCACAAATACTTGAAGATAACACTATGGTCCTTGTAGCTTCTCACATCAATAACACTTCCCATAATATTCCTCCTCAGTTACAATGCAAACTAAATAGCACATTCGTACACCATTTGTTTCAAAAATCATGGGTTTAGTCTGTATTCCGATGGGTGAGGATCGAAAGTATCATTCTTATAAGAGTCACTTATCATGAATTAAACGGATTTTGATATTTTCATACTATTTTGGCAGCGATCGGAATAATCGGAGCAATTCAATTTAATATTGCGGTGAACACCATGTTTGTAAACTCTGTAATTTAGCAATTCTTCTATCCAGGGTCATTAAAAAGTACTTCTTATGCATGTTTCAAACATCTACAATCAGTATGTGAGGGATCGATTAGTGTGTAACCCATTTGTAGAGGGGGCGAGTAAAAGAAAATGATGCCATACAGCTGATAAATAAACTGAACTATATTCGGTATATCTTCAAGAGTCGATAAACAGTGAACCAGAAATAAAATACAGGAGGGTAGGTATTTCAAGAAACAAATCATACTTAAAGACATACAGATTCTGCAGAGATCCGACGTAAAGTGATTTGATGTATCGGTCCCTGTTGCCGTGAGTCCGAAAGACAAATGTTCAAACGACAGGTTCGTTCATCACCGATTTCACAAACACTATCAAAATTGACAGATGAAGAAGTGTGAAAATTTTAGCAAAATAGTTTTATCCGTATTGAAAACTGAAACATTTTTTAAACAATGTAGCACACACAGTCATTTATTTTTTATATGAATTCCTTGGTGGAAATCGGTTAAGATTAAAAGAAAGGTAATCGGCCGCCTTTTGTTATTTATTCAATAAGGTTGATTTGATTTATGTTTCACAAACTTCTAATGTCACACAGGAATATATTTGGAGAGTTTATTGTTATTTATTATTTTGGACAACTAAATGGTAGGTTTATTTATTTATTTGCTAAGCAAGACACATTTTTAATACAAGCAGCACACAAACGAACATATCCACAGGTGCAATTATACATCAGTTGATTTGACTTTTTACATGCTACCAAAATCCAACGCTCTTTCTTTTTCCATTATGATTCACAGCGTCTTCCTCTGAAAGATTTCTCCGCTGAGATTCGCGCCAGTTTGGACATAGAGACATTCATTAAAGAGGCCACGTTTCTACTCAGCTTGAACGGATCTGACATTGAGGAGATTTTGGAATCCATGTTGACTGCTGTGTTATCCAATCCAGCTCGGGCCGGTACACCACATCTGGTCGGTACCGGTCAGAGCACTATCACAGCGAATGACCCCGGTTTAGGTGAGATAGAGGCCAACCAGTGGTCACGCACATCCGCATCTATCACTTCAACCGCAACCCGGCGTTTTCCTTTTTCATTACCGGGAACTTCTAAACACGACCTGAGTAAGCTGATTGCTGAAGCGAAGAAGTCCCTTCTTCTACAAGTCACCTATGAGGATCACAAATGTAAGTCTTACCTATGGTCTCTGTTTATGATTAGCTTTGGATCGAAGTAATAAGAAACTAGTTAGCACAGTACAAAGTCATCTGCATATTTCAAAATAAACGGAATATCTCAAATGTAAATAAAAAATAGGTGTGGGAATAGCACAGCTCCTTGAAGAACCCCGGAGTTATTGACTAGGGGTTTAGACGAAGATTTCCCGAACCTAATCAGTCTGATAGCTAGGAAATATTTGCTCGGGGCATTCAAACGATTGCATATTTTGAAAGAAATGAGTTTGAGGAACGGAATTAAAAGAAGAAGAGCAGTACAGAAAAACACCAAACAAAATCAACAGAGTTGTCAAAATATTTAGTGATAAAATGAATAAGGGTAAAGACTGCGCCCAAGGTGGAGCTATTGGGTTTATAGGCAAACTGTAAAGTACCACTGGGAATGTTTATAGACTGCTGAAAACGTTTTGGGCATTTGAATAGTAGAGGTTCTGCAACAGGCTTTCGATTTTGCATGCTGAGCATTTGGGATCAATGAAGGGTACCCGGTAATTCGGTCTATCTCAATAGCTGAATAACTTATCACGTATGTGAAGCCATTGGTAACGGAATGCAGTGGGCCGGCAAAACACCGGAAGAATTAGTCCGGGGCAAGTTGCGGTTCATTTAAGATGTTCAAAAAATTGTCGATTTATTTGTCTGTGCCTAACTGAAAAATGACAACAGCAGATTTACATGTCCGGCAGTTTCGGCTTGAAATCCTTGAAAAGGGAAAGTGTAAAGGCCAGTAAGACAGTGTAAAAGTATAGTTTGATGAAGGATACTAGAATACAAATTGTGCAGGGTCTTTAGTGGAACAGACTTTGCCCGACAAAACGGATGCAACTATATTTCACCTTCAAAGAGTTACCAATGCTTCTGCAAGCAAGTCATCAGGTCGGCTGGCATCGGACAATAAATGAGATCATGGGTTTAAAGTTTGGCCTAGTGGTCTGCTTCAACTAGAAACATATGGTCAATATATGTTTAGAAAATTTGATAGTATATGTTGAATACAATATAATAAAGCTTTCTAATACAGAATTCAAGTTTGAGCAAAGAGCGCAAACAGCAATTTCGGTGTGGAGTAGGCGAGAAATTTTATAGATAAAACGAGAGGAATTCTGTTGAAGATGTACAATATAGCTGCTGTTGTAGAAAACATTTAACCAAAAACAGTTAAGCCCAGATCGTCTCTACTAAACTGGAACGCACAATGGATCTTCATTGATGGTTAAACAAAGTGAAAATTTGGTGTACATACTTGCATGATATCATACACCCAAGTGTTGTATTTATTAATCAAGTAGAAAATTTCTTTTGAAATTTGGATTGCATTAGAAAGTACTATGTGCTGAAGCAGTTTCTAATCGGTAAAATTTCACAAATTATGCTTTGGTCTAGCATGAGGGCACGTTCGTTTTGTGTTCTGTTTGATCTGATGGTTCCAATGAACGCCTGATGACCGATGTGTTCGGTTATATTTTGTGAGGTGTGTTCTATATCGTTCACTTTCTAACTGTCATTCTGCATTTCTTTCCACTCGTTCAATCTTTCTTTTACGGCTCATATGGGTTATGAGATCGTAAAACTGCCATTCCATCGATTTTACTGTGTCCTTGATCGATCCATGCTCACATTGTGTCTAATCTGTTTGAAGGAGTCCCCCATCTGTGGAGCGAAGTGACAAACAGATGGATTGATTTCAAAACTTAGAGCAGCACCGACGCTTTTAGATTGTTTTTAATGAAAAACACGAATTTGTTAATTAGAGCAGAAGATAAAACCGCTTAAGTCCATGAGTTCCTACTGTAAAACAACAAATCATTTTCTGGTTGATTGACTTTAATTAATTCTCTGCCTATACGTGCGTAGATAATTTGTCCACTTGTCACCCATCCAGATGCTGATTTACTGATAGGACGTATTAATGGAAGCCTGAGTGTGGAGGGTGATTGTGGTCAATCGGAATCACATAGATAGAAATCGGTCATAGCAGAAAACAAACGGAATTATCCGCATGAGAGATTACTGGCGCGTATTACTTTATTCAATCGCGAGAACCCACAGTAAAATGTAAGCAGATGGCGAAGATCACGTCTGATCCCATACCTCATGAACTTGGAAAACATTTAGACTTTGTACTGAAAAGATGCAGTAAGAGCTCGAAATTGCAAGGGTGTATTTAACATCATTGTGAGATTATAAACACTTATCCCTGTCTATCAATATAGCTCAGCAGAGATGAAACCCGCTTTATTGATGAAATCAGATATGAAAGATATTCGATAGTGCAAACGAGCTAACTCTTAACTTGCTTCAAGAGCAATGATTCCGGATAACAATTAGTAGATAAATTAAATGACACGATGTTTGTGAGCCGAGGTTTCAGAAAACAGTGGTTACCCAAAATGATTGAATTAGAAGTCAAGTCAAGTAAATGCGTTATTCACCCCGAACAGTGAATATTCAATAGTCACTTGATTAAAGAAGAATTAACAAGTGAGCATATTTCACCAGATATGTGGAAAGCAAGGACAAAACAAACAGTTTAAGATATGAGTGAGTTTATTTTGGAAGCGTTGCGTTTACCGAGAAATTGGACAAGACAAGGCAGTATAGAAAACCGGCAGGCTACCGTGCGAGAAACTATTCAGTTATAGTGGGATCGGATTGGATAAGAGGACACAATTTATAAGATCTGCCTGCTACGCATGCGTAGGGTTGTTTTTCTGTTTTGTATGTTGTAAAACAATGAAGTGCCACGAAATTTCAAGGCAGATACCGCAACGTCTACATATATGTGCTAAGAATCTCGAAATCGAGCAATTTCATGGGCCCGTACAGCCAAAGACCTAGGCCTTCGTTCGCTGCCGTGAAGAATGTCGGTTTGGTCGGTTTGAATGAGCACTGTTCCCAATTTTGCTATCAGTGTATATTCGACTGTAGACAGAGTACACCATCCAAGTTTAGAGTTCATGGTTGCACCGTGATCGTTAGATGCTGGCGCGACTACAAAAGATTGCCACCAAGATGGTTATGGGATTGCATTATCTCGCCTGTGAGGAGATATTACGATCATTGAAAGAATATTCCGCTCAGTACCGGGGAGACTTGCTTTTTAAATAATAAATCAAATAGTGTAGAACCCAAACCATCCATGTCGGCCGCTGCTGACGTTGTCGAACAATGTACACCTTAGGGTACATCGTTTAGAGTTTCTGATTTTAAAGTATCCACTGGAATGCCGGCGCCAATGTTTTGCGTTCAAAGTATGCAATACTTGGAAAACCCTTCAGTTTCAGGCCGTTTGCGAAACCAACTATTGAATCTCTCAAAGACAGACTCGATGAAAACCTCACATTCAAATAAAATAAAAGCAAACATTTGAAGGCTACAACACTTGTGATCTTCTACCTGGAATTCTGTGTGGCAATTGGTTTTAGCCGTTAAACGGGGACAAGTGAAGTATGAGCTTGTAAATAATTCCCATAAAGGTAGATTGACTTTTATTTTGAGGCAGAATATAAGTAAAATAAAACGACAGATGAAGAAGCGCTTAACGAAGAAAGCTTTCAGATGTAAAAGGTAATATAACAATTTTCTGCCCTTTCTAATTACATAAATGACTTGATCAGACGAGCATACATTCCGGCTGATTGACAGAACGAGATATCTAACATTTACAGGTTGGGTAATGGTATACTCACATATTATTATCGAGAGACAGGATTCCTAGAGATTTGATTATTGGTTCCCTCTGAAAATCGAGAATTGCGTTTTCACGCAGTAACAATACACATTCGCGACGACAATCAATGGGACTTGCTTGGTAGGACAACGTGAAGCGTTTGCATAATCCTCAAGAAAAATCAGACAAAAATACAAATATCACTTTTTGAGAGCAATGCAACAGAATATCGCAGCGTTAAAGGCCTATAAATTGGATTTGTTAGCAATCTAGAAAGGTGTACAACGGCCAGATAAATATTACCTTTTCATTGATTTATATCCTGTATAAAATCGTTTATCCAAACATCGACATGCAACGAGATGATTCCATTAGGATTGATCTTATTGAGGTTACCAGCTGAAAATCGACGAAGAACGAATATAAAACAGCACTCATCACCAGTAATTAGTGGACACTCCTCAGCATGCTCTTTTGCCGGATAAGGGGCTCACTGAGAGAGATTATGACTTTTATTGGTTGAGTTCTTCTCTGAATTAAAAAACCGTACTGGAGAAAGAAATTATGAATAGGTAAAGGTGAAAAGGGAGCTGCATTCTCACAGCATGATGAGCTGACGGATTTCTATTTCAGCGTTAGGACAAAAGCTTACACGAGCCACAGATTTACCATGAGGTGGACCCCACCTAACCAAGATCAGCCTGGACCTACTTTAGCTATAATCAGAACGTACACGTACTACACATTAATGGTCATGTAAACCAGTGCTTGAGTACGTTTAGTTTGCTTAAGATAGGCAAACAAAACCAATTGTTTCAAATAAAAATAATTTAAACTGAGGAAAACTAAACATAGCCATAGTCATGTTAGGACAATCCGGAAGGTCCTTAAAGATGTAGAGTAATGGCTAAACGAGAACGCGATATAAACGCAATCCTTTGATCTGGTTCGGTTCTTATGTGAACAATTTTCTTCCCTTGACGATAAATTAAAAATCGGTTCTTGTAGCTCGGGTTAACTAAATCCCACTTCGCCTGTTCTTCATCTCTCAAGTGCTGAAGTTCTCCCCTCAAAAAGTGATGAAATGTTTGCTAACCTCGGTGAATGGGCAAAATGGAATTTATTTTCGGTTAGAAAAGCAGGTTCAACTATATCTGTCATGATTAGTTTTTAACTTAATGGTAGGATAAATAAAAACCCTGCGATCATCTCAAGTACTAAATGAACGTCGTTTGATGATGGTAAATGAATCATGGTTGTAAACAGGCGTGCTATCAAGTTGAAAATTCAGTTGACTGGGAAACTTTACAGAAAAACTGCATCAGACCGAATAAATTCATCTAACCGATCAAATTTATCTGTTGTGATGCACCAAGAGTGAATAACAGCGGTGTACCGTGGTATTCGTGAACTATTGGCACAAATGTTTAAATTCGGATCGCTCGCATCAAAGCTTGCAAAATAGACTACGAATGCTAGATAAGAGACCAAATATCTATTATATATTTTTACACTAAAGTTGATTGATCAACATCCGTATTTCACGGCATCTGATGCAAACGCTTACAATGTGATCGCTTCTAAATCGTGGAACAATTCCCGACCTTTAATTTTATTTTCGTAGTCCGGATTTAAATATTTCTAGTAGCGTGCAGCAACGAAAGCATGCTTTTATGATTTCCCGATGTATCAAAGTCAGTACATTATTGTTTCCACCCAATGAGCAAAAAAGCGTTACATTTGGTGGGTAGATGGTTGCTTCAGCGTAGTCCGACAGTTGTCACCATTATGAACTTGACTCAGTTCAACCAATAAATCACCTCATCGAGTAACGGTTGAGTTCAATTCTCCTCTTCTTGGAGCTCAAAGTTTTCATATATCTGCCGACGTGTTCTGCACGTCCACCTTGAACTCATTGCATGAAAAGGCAAATGAAGAAATTTGGAAGTATATTTCATTGCGTTACACCAAACTGATACACGAGTGAAGAACTAACAGCAAAGGATAAAGTATGTTCTCAACCGGAACACTTTGGACATTTAAGGTCAACTTAATTTAATAACGTAATTGCTGTACTGCACGTATTGACCTCAACAAATTCAAGGTCATGGATTGATGATTTTGTGTTCAGTTGAAGGTCCGCAAAATTTGATTAACATGCTTTGAAGTGGAGTCTACAGCGCATGAATTCAATCAGTCGACGTTTTCCCGGTCACTTGAATGCCCTTCTAACTTAAAATACAAACAGATCGGTACATGTCCTTGAGATGTGTGTGTGACAGTTGGGTGATTTTCATGAGAACTGTGGAGCGCTTCTCTACTTTGTCCTCACAATTGCGGTAGAATTCACGGATTACTGGAAGTTGACATTTGGTATACTAAGGTTAGCAGTGGTTCGCAACATTGAATGTAACGGGGCGATTTGCTCATCCAACAAAGACAACCCGCTTCACGATTGCAGAAATGCGCGCGTGGTTGCCGAAATCATTGCATAATCAAATAAACGTACGATTATTTGATCACTGCAGAAAATCATATTTTGCATCAAACTATCGATATCCATCTATATTTTTTTGAAACATGCAACTTCCGTCATGATAATTAGTTTGAGTAAAACCTAACCGGTCAAAACCGTTTGAATTCAAGTTGATTTTAGCTTTAACTCAGTATTATACAATTGCCGACGTAATATAATCATATATTCCCCTTTTAAGTCAATAGAAAAGCACTGTAGTCATACTTTCAGCACAAATGTTTTGTCCCTTGAATGTGTCAATACATGAAACGCAGGAAGGTAAGCCAATACCGTACTTAAAATATTATATCGGTTGGTATGTAAGGACTCAAATCTCACCCACTAGGTTTGTGAATTACTTTGCAAATGAAAAAATCAATTATTTTAACTTAATTGCATTACAAGACTCCAGAACCGCACATCCCACAAAAAGTTAATTTAATCACAATGTCCCATTTTAATTTCACAACCACATTTTGTTCGACTTACTTAATCAGTGGTTCATTTGAAACTTTGAATTTACCTAATCCGGTATGACTCTCTTACGGCGTATTTCATTCAAATGACTTAACATTTGTTTTGCGTAGTAGCTGCGCACCGTTCCGCGACATTCGCGATTAGTACTTTATTGGTAATATTGTTGTGCTGTTTGCAGTAAGATACGTCCCACCCGAACCGCAGATTGTTTTTTGTTCGGCCTTCACACTAACAATGTAATCAGTCACTTAAGTAGGTTGACAGTGTGCTTCGGTTTCACAACTTGTTGACAGAAACCGA